ATATGAAAGCTTAAAGTATTTTACACCTTCTCATTTACTATCAAGTCTTTTAAAGTGATATTGAGAAATAATCTGAGATTTAAAGTGAAAAAGTAATACCGTTTTGAATAGCTGTGAATTCATGTAGAGAAGACCTTTCTATATGAAAGAGTATTCATTAGAAAGCTTTAATGGAGTATTTTCATTTTACTCTAACAACAAAGTTCGAGTTTATTATAAAAATAACAAGATATTTTTAAAAAAACTTCATGTGACACGAATTTCGAATTTATTTTCACATATAGAAAAGCAACCTCAGGGAAATGTCACACGACTACAAAATTTCCAGTGACCTACACAATTTTTTATTAATAGTAGTGTGAGCATAGTGGACATTGGATTTCATTGGCTAAATTTTGTGACGATCTCCCTTCCAGATACACGCAAAAATTAAATTTTATTGGCTTGAAGATCGTCACGCAAATTTGAAAAAACAAATATTAATATTAATATCAGAGAGAAGGAAATTTAGTTTCGAATTGATAAAATAAAATGTTTTATAATAAATAAAAAAATTAATATAGTATTTCTTTATTGAATGTTTTTAATATGTAGGCTTGGTTTTTCATTATACAGTATAATATATTATTTACTTTTTAACTTTTCATTGACTTCAAATCAACTAAAGCTCCTAATGGTTCAGTTCGAACTGGTTTTATGGGTAAACCGAAACCGAACCGAAATCTGTCTATAATGGCTGATGATCATGATCTGAAACTATAATTGCTGGGTTAGGAATTTTTACATACCACATCAAATTAATATTTATGATCAGGATTACGCACTTATATTTCTCTTATTGTTACAATATGTTTATTATAAATCTGTCAACATTATTTCACATACCATCACCTTTATTTCATATTTCCATAACATTACTTTATACATATATCACTACTTTTATCTATTATTGTAATTATTCAAACGTTTACCATCATTGCTCTCATGCTATATATCTAAATAGTTATAATTCATAATCAAAGAATCATAATAACATCATCATTATGACTTACTATGATATTGATTCATAGTATAGTTTTACTGTAAATATGATTTAAGAACAACCTTTCGACTTCATGTGTTAATGAATTAACATCCTTCAAAAATGTATATAAAGACATCAAAATCGATGGTGATTTTTTTGATCTTGAAACATATTACTGTATTCCATTATGAATTGATCACATGATTACGATCTGCAGATTCCCTATTATAATAACAGCGTTATAGAGAGTGTACAGAATATAAAAAATAAAAAATTTTATCCGCGTAATTGAATGAAATTTTTTTTTAATACATGTAAATACTATTTTATCCACAATTACATTATCACCAACATCCTTTCTATTATAATAATATATCAAGTAATATGAATACCCAACTGTGTCATAATTAGCTAAAAAATATTTATTCATGCAAGCAACTTCTACTCCAAATGAGCGTCTAAGTCAAACCTTGTCACAGCGGACTATAATTAAATTCTTGACATAACGGATTTTTTAAATTTTTGCTTCACATTAAAATATAAATGCCCGTTGTGGCGAGATCAGTAATAGTAATAGTGATCTTGCTACAACGGATTTTGGGTAAAATTTTCTTATGTGTCCCATTCACCCGTTGTGACAAGCTTTGACTGTATTTAGTGAAGCTGGAAACACAATGACAGCCAAACGAACAAATTTGAATCCATTGTTATTTGAAAGATTGTATTTCTTAAAAAAAAAAAAAGATGCAATGTATTGAAAATATTTTTCTGGCGAATAAATAATCCAAATAAATGAATATTCGGCGGATATTCGGTGAATGATTAATCATCCGGGTGTTGAGCTTTATTGATTGGCTAAGTACTCAAACACCCGGATGACCAACGGATACAACCACTATATCTTTTAATAAACTATTATATTTTTTAAATATAATAACAATAATAGAGTTAATAACACTAAAGCAAATATATGATAATTGTGATGATGATAAATTATAATTTACTAAATTACAACGCTTCAAAGACTTCAATAGATAGTAAATCAATTTAGTTGTATCTCACTTTTAGCCCATAATGTGAATGTGGCTTTATTTCATCTACTGAAACAAGATTTACAGTTGAAGTATGTCGTTTTGTCATTTAAATTTCTACAATTAAAAAACGATTCATATTAATTAATTTTCTTATTATTATGATTATTAACCCCGCATTATAGTAAAACCTTTAACCGTATTAAATGTATGTATATCCTTTCCGTTTACAGTCAAAGCTCGTTAATTCATACGACAAATTTTTATGAATTTATCGAATTATACCATTATCGAGAGTCGCTCTTTAATTTGATGAGAATAGGAATGTGATTTAGAGATTTTCTCTATAAAAAGATGAGATTTTCGATAAAAAATTTATTGTAATTATAAAAAAAAAATTCTCAGTGTTGTTTTTGTCATTGAAATTTTATTATGTATGAATTTTACTAATGTATCACGAAATTGAAGTTAAACCCGTTTTTATTTATTGCATATTAATATTAAAAAACATGCCGATCATCTGCTTCTATCACGAATTTTAAATTCTATTTACCCATATTATTTTCCTAATATTAATAATATTTACTATCAAAATTTGATGTCTTGTATTTACAAAATTCTGACTATGCTAGAGTTTTAAAGGTCCTTCAAAATTTTCCGACTTTAAAATAAAAAACTTCCATTAAAATAATAAATGAAATAAAAGAATTTCTATGGGAACAATTGCAAGTATTTTTTATATCCAATTAAAGAAAAATTATTTGATTGCAATGGTACACGAATTTATTTGTCTAAAATTTACCATTCTTTGTGACACATAATTATCTTTCAATGGCTTCTTCTCCCCCCAAAACTTTACATGTTAAAAAACCTTCACTTTTTTAAGTATAAAGACATCCATATTTCATTATATTATCTAAATGGTACATGTCACGTAATTAAAATTTTGGTTACTAAATTTAATAAAAAAAATCCTGAATAGTTATTTCTTTTCTTGTCAAATAAATTGTTTTTTATGCTGTGCGAATTAATCATAATCAGTATTGCTGCTAAAGTTTTATTAACGTAAGACAAAGATGAAGAAAGATCATTCTATTACACAAGAAAAAATCTATAAAAATTTACAAATTTTTATCTTTTTTATTTTTTTTTTTAACTCATCATAAACACCTTTTCCTTTTCCTTTACCTTCATTCCTTCAATCCTTAAATTAATTCTTCTACACACTATCCAAATCCTCCTAATCCAATAATTCGCTTCTACCACCACATACATTTTCCCTCGATTAATCACATTAATCACGAATCATAATAACCACGCACAAAATTTATTGTAGGGAAAGAAGAAACCCTTATTAATATAATATAATTTATATAGTCAAACTTAATTTAATCTAATTTAATAGATTCAATATTTATTTAATATATAAAACATGCATTTAAATCAATTCATCAAATATTTGTTAGTTTTGTCCAGTATGGTGATGTTGTCATCCGCACAAGATAGTGGGGATGGGTTTGTTTTCAAATGTAAAACCCCCGGCCAAGTCGCTTTAACTTTTGACGACGGACCATCAGCCGCAAACACACCAAAATTATTAAAAACATTAGATACCAAAAATATTAAAGCCACATTCTTTGTTTTAACTGTTAATATCAATGAGGGTAATAATAAAAATATATTGAAACAAACCTTTGAAAAAGGTCATCAAATCGCATTACATTCTTCAACTCATGCTGATATGAATAAATTGTCACCAGCTAAAGTAAAAGAAGAATATGTCAAAAATTTGGAGGCTGTCAAAGCTACTATTGGCAAAACTCCAAATTACGCTAGGTAAAATTCAATTCAATTTTTTGTTTTGTCATTTTATTTTAAATTAAAATTCGATCGGTCAATTTTAACATGAATATTAACTAATTATATAAATCAGACCTCCATTTGGTAATTGTAACGCTGCTTGTGCCAAAGTAATGAAAGAATTAGGTTTAACTGTAACTCAATGGAGTGCTGATTCTCAGGATTGGCAATACGCCCAAGCAAAAGAAAAGCAATCTTTAACAGTCAAAAATCTAATGGACGTAATAGGAAAAGGGAATCCAAAAGTAGACTCATTCATCACTTTACAACACGATATTCAACCATTTTCTGTTGATTTCACACCAGAAATTATCGACAAAATTACAAGCTTTGGTTATAAATTTGTCACAGTATCTGATTGTTTAAGCAACAATCCCACTGCTTATAAAGAAGGTGACAATATCAAGACAGCTCCCGCAACTCCCGCTGTTGCCCCCGCTCCCCCCGCTCCTCCTGTTTCTCCTGCTGCCACAACTCCCGCTGCTTCTCCCGCTGCCACAACTCCCGCTGTTTACCCTGCTGCCACAACTCCCGCTGTTGCCCCTGCTGTCACAACTTCCAGTGCTGCTCAACCATCTAAAACACCAAAAGCAAAAAATGATACACCAAAACCAAAAGCAAAAAATAATGACAACAAAAATAATATAGAAAATAATGATACTACTACTACTACTAGTACTCAAACACAAACACCAAAAAGTTCAGCTAATAAAATTGCTTCTTCATCAAGTATTCTTGGAATTTCTTTATTTGTCTTCATCCTTGGTTTCTTCTGGTAAACCATTTAAAGATATATAAATAGTACAAAAAAATATATATATTATAGAATTTAGTCATTTTTTTTTAAATAAATAAATTGGGGTTTCCGTGTCATAAATTTTTAAAATAAATTGGGGATTTCCGCGTCATAAATTTTTAAATAATAATAATAATAAAATAAATAAATTGTAATTTCCGCGTCATAAATTATAAATATAAATAAATAAAATAAATTGGGATTTCCGTGTTATAAATTTTAAAAAGAATTATATTATTTTTTAAATATAATAAATTTATTCATTTTATATATCGATTTGGGGGGTTGGCGCAATGGTAGCGCGTCCGCCTCCAGAGCGGAAGGCTGGGTGTTCGAGTCACCCACTCCCCAATAAGTTTTCTCATGAGAAATTTTTTTGTGCACAAAGTATGAAACACCCGTTTTTTTTATTTTACTTGTGACCGTTGTGCGTGAAAATGAAATCTATGTGAATTTGCAATTAGCCAATCAGAATTTCATATCCAAACACCTCACCCCAAAATTATTTCGATTTCACATACAACATGACCACATTTATTTATTTAAAAATCTAAATTCAATTACCGTAAAGTCTGGAAAGATAGCACCCCCCGAAAGATAGCATCCCTACTTTAAAACAATTGAGCGTCAATATAAAAAAAATGTTACATATATGTAAAAAAGGGGATGCTATCTTTCCGGACTTTATGGTAACCTATTTATTTTAAAGCTAGCCTTTCACCTTTAATTAAAATAATCAAACATATTTAAATAAATCCATTTAAATAATCATAAAAAGATAGCACACTACAAGCAAAAAACCTTCCACTTGGACTATAAACTATGCCCTTTATCAGAATATATACCATTCTAAAGACTGAAAGAAGTAATTTGAGGACGTTTTGCATGCAATTTTTTTTTCTATTGGATACTCCAATTGAATGTTCCCATTTAATAATTTCTTCACAACTGGGCTTCCAAACTGTATCAAAGAAAGCTCCTGAACAGTTCCAGGGCTGCTTTTCTTCCTTTTGATTATAATTCATTGATGTGTGTGAAAATATGCACTATATTTCTTGGAATTAAACCCCTTGTGAAAATTTTCACAAAGAGTGTAAAAGATCTATTTCACATTATTGCTTGTTGTATATCTATGTAGTTGTCACTATAATTATTTTTTGTTTTTTTTTTTAACAACACAGTCATATTTAATGCTTTTATTAGATAGATATTTAAATGAAATTATTACATGATTAAAGAATATAATATATTATCTATCTAAACTATGCTAATAAGTTCTCCCTCATAGAAATACTTAATTGAAGTGGACTGGCCACTAATATTATTATTGTTATTATTATTATTATGAGTATTATTGTTGCTGTTATCTTAATAGAGATTAAAAATTCAAATGTTTTTTATCAAGTCCTAATTGTTTGTATCTTTTGAATTTTCACAGTACCATCAAATCTCCAGATACCAAATTACACCCAGGATAATTTGTATCTATGTTTTGTAATAGAAGGCTTTCCTTCAAAGATATAGATAGAAAAAAAAGGTTCTCAATGATGATCACATTCATTTCCACTCTATTTTATGCATCTTTTCCTCAGTGGAAACCCATTTAACGAATTCAATTGTTTTGCTTTGCAATTTTTATAATGGTAATCAATTAGGAATATAATATTTTTAGTTACATTAATTTTTGTGATTTGGTTATTATTACTTCCTAGTGTCACCAATTAAATTTGGGAGAGTGTATGTTAATGGATCAGAATGAAAAGGTAATTATTAATGAATTAATTTTAGTATTAGTGAATAATTTTGTGTAAAGAAGATAAGAGTTTGTTTAAATAAAATATTTATTTATTTAATTTAACTTGTTAGAAAGTTATTTTTACAGTAGGTCAAATTTGAGTTCCTTATATATGTGTTAAATTATATATGAGCCCACTGTGGCTATTTCGCCCACCCTGGGATCATTGTCATTAATTTCTACTAAATAAAGTTAAATAAATGTTAACGTGCTACGAATGATAATATTAATAGAATAAAATTAAATTGTCCCGGAATTAAGAGGTTCGACCAAAATATCTGCGTTAAAGTCTAATCTCAGTAACACTAGTGAGTCAGCTATATTGTTGAGAGGATAGTTATTTGGAATGAGCTTTAATTTTTGTTTAAATTATATTGTTCCATTGCCTTCCCATAAAAATTGATTGTTAATTTTAAGGTAAGATCCAATGATTTTTGATTTTGATTTTTGTTTCCAACCATCAATAGTAGTTTATGAGTCTAAGTGATACCATTTGTTGGACATCCAAGAATTACTGCAAATAAAGAAAAAATCTCTGTACATGACATGATGGACATTCTTTTTATATGGGGTGTACCGCAAAAAGTGGATTGAATTTGGCAAAATAAATTATTGATCTGTAAATAAATCCAAATAATGCAAATTACACTTCAAGAAAATTCTTTGCATTTAAAGAACATTTTTGTTCAATTTATTTTAACATTCAACTTCAAGAATAAAAACAAAAAAATTATAAATAGGTAAAGATATTCTTGAGGCATTCAAATAAAAATTCTTTATTAATAATATAGCCATAACTCTTGTTGATATTTACAATTGTAAACAAAACAAAACTGCAAATATTTTCAAACAATATTTTAAATAACTCTCCATTATAAATAGATGTAACTTTTTCTTAAAAGCCCCATTTAACAAAAATGCTTCTGAATTTATCTGCAGCTTATTGATCAAGTTTTCTGGTCAAAACTACCTCTCTAATTGCCAAAACACTTTGGGTCCAAACTATTTTAAATAGTAATAGGTTGTGTTATTCATAATGGACAAAGGATCTTTCTTATAAAGTGTAACATTAAATTTTCAAATGTTTTAAATACAATAAAAAAAAGTGATCATAAGACAAAAAACCTGCAGCTAATTTTTTATGATCTATATCATTTATCACCTGATCAATAGATTCCGAAATAAATTGAGAGGTATGTGATGTTTTAATGGCTTCCAAAACACTGGAGTTGTGATGATGAAATTTACTATAGGTTCATTTCTCAAGTTAGTCCATCCATCAGTTGCAATACAAACAAATTTTGCATTATTGACTAATTTTTTAATTGATTTTTGTACATTCTCAAATTCTTTATTTAATAAACATTCACTTTACTGTATTTCTTGAAGCTAACTTGTAAGATGGACATAACTTTTTGCAAAATTCTACAAATGCAGGAGCTTCTACAAGTGATAATGGTAAACCTAAACCAAAAATCATATGAGCTAATATTGCATCAATTTCTTCTATTTCATTTGATAACACTTATCAACAAATGAAGTTAATTTTGTTTGTTCTAATATAGACTGTACATTTTGGCTGGATGAACAATTATCATATCTTGACTTAATACTTTCATCAACATTTTTACATCTTTTTATATGATTTTTAAGTCTTTCCAGCTGCCCACTCACTAATTCATTACAATATCTGCATTTTGCATCATAATGATTGTTTGTTTTATTATGTCTTCTATCATTTGATGCTTCAAAGTGTATCCAAACAGAAATAATTCAAACTATTTTGTATGTATAAAAATCATCCATTAATAACAAGAAAATAAACAAAATATATTGCTTATAATAATGTTAGAAACTTGATAAATAGTTAGTTATCAAGAAATTAATGTTGGTTGGAAAGACAGTGAGAGGATTTTTTTTGTAAAGAATTAATATTAATAAGTATTACATTGATTATTTGTTATAAATCTGTTATAAAAATCACAAATGTTAGACAACAGTTATATAACGTTATATAACACTGTTGTATAACACCTGTTATAAAACACTTCCATCTCTATCCCCATCTCATAATTGAAAAATTGTATCAACATATTCTTCACAAGAACCTGAATGAAAAATTACAACATAAATATCCAGTGTAAGCAGGTATTAAGTTATATAATAGTCTACAATTGTTTTGGTATTCTATCTTTTGGTGATTTCTGATGCAACTTCATACCAACTTGATCTTAGGATGATTAGTTCTATATAGGTTTTTTACTAATTTTTTTATGCATAAATATCAATGGTCTGATAGAACTGTTTCTCACATATTTAATGATGCATGTAGTTAACCAGTGATAGTAACAAAATTTTAATAATCTTAGGTATTTGTAATCTTAGATTGTTCTTTCTGTTTATAATCCTGTTTATTTAAAAGAGTTACTGCTTTACACACAAATAATTGGCCTGTATTATTGAAATAATATTATTTTGAAGATAGCTGTTAAGTGCAGGAATGTTTGTTATCATTTTTAATGAATCCAAGTATTCATTTAAACCTTTTAGATTTAATTCTTTAATATCAACTAATTGACAAGTTTTCATAGACCTTCATCTTGTTTTTGTCTGGTTGCTTCATCATAAGGATGAAGTAGGTACTGAACTCTGTTACAGTGTGTCACAAAAAAAATTGGAAATTTTTAAATGAACATTGTGAAACAACTACTGTATTAGTTCGTGTGAAAAATGCCTCATTTGATAGCTTAAAATCATAATTTTTATTGATAATATTTTAATAAGAAATCCTTTTGCCATTATTTTCAATGACCAGTTCACATCTTGATTTCATTGAATGAATTAAACTAATTAGAAGTAAATTAGGAATTGCATCCCACTCCTCAGTCATAAACTGCACCAATTCCGCCAGATTTTTTGGCATTCTCTTCTCCACATTCCTCTTAACAATAGCCCACAAATTTT